AGGTACTACTTTATAACTATTATAACAGCCAACTTAAAATCATTTCAGTATTCTATTCTGTCAAAGGTATGCTGAAACAAGAACACTGATCCAGCTCTGGTGACATGCACAGTTGAAAATTTTGGTGCATTAACAGCAATACATTTGAAGAAATATACAATGTTAATCATCTTTGACTCAATAACCCTTGATAATTTGCCCCAGGGATACAAACAAAATGAAGAAAAAGCATACTATAAGAACATTTTCATTGTAGCATTATTTATGTGTTAAAGAATGCTAACAGTCTGATTATCCAAAAATAGAGGATTAGTTAAAAATCTGAGGTTTATAGATTTGGTGGGACATTGTGCAACCATTAAAATGATTCAATCTCTGTATCCATATGCCAAAATCTGGAAAAAAAGGGCGTGAAAAAAATGCAAAAGTACATTTATGCTGTTATTATAATTATATAAAATTTGTATGCATATGTAGCAGTAGAAAATGGAGTGGTATGATCATGGCTAATTTTTTGTTGTTGTTATTCCTCACCCGAGGAGATTTTTCCTGTTGATTTTTAGAGTGAATGCAAAGAAGGAAAGGAAGGAAGGGAGGGAGGGGGAGAGAAACATTGATGTGAGATCAGTTGCCTCCTGCATGTGCCCCAACTGGGCCGGGGGATTGAACCTGCAAACCTAGGTACACGCCCTTGATTGGGAATCAAACCTGTGACCCTGTGGTGCACGGGCCGACACTCTAACCACTGAGCATACCAGCCACGCCCCAACTGGGCCAGGGGATTGAACCTACAAACCTAGGTACACGCCCTTGATTGGAAATTATAGATTCCCAACCTGTGACCCTGTGGTGCATGGGCTGACACTCTAACCACTGAGCACACTGGCCAGGGCTAAACTTGTTTTTTAAAAAGCTTTTTTCTTTTACTGCTCTGATTCAGTGTTTTTTGCTATCTTGTCCTCTAAATGGCTGACCTGAAGCACCATTCTTTTAGTTGGAATTAGTTGCTGTAAGGAGACCAAATTGTATAATACTGATTACAGCTCTACTTTTTAAAAAGACATTAAAAAAAAAGATTAGGGGAAAATATACCAAAATGCTGTGTATTAAACAATGGTTATGACAGCAGATGCATTTTATGTGGTTGTTCTTGTCTCTAGTTTTCCACATTCTCTGTACTATGGTAATTTTATGGTACTTTCAAAATTAATGAGCCCTGGCTGGTGTGGCTCAGTTGGTTGGAGCGTCGTTCGTGTGGTTGTTCTTGTCTCTTTAGTTTTCCACATTCTCTGCACTATGGTAATTTTATGGTACTTTCAAAGTTGATTAGCCCTGGCTGGTGTGGCTCGGTTGGTTGGAGCATCGTTCCGTACACCGAAAAGTTACATGTTCAATTCCCAGTCAGAGCACATACCCAGATTGTGGATTTGATCCCCAGTTGGGGTGCATCTGAAAGACAACCAACCAATGTTTCTCTCTCTCGCTCTCTCTCCTCCCTTCCTCTCTCTGAAATCAATAAAAATATATTCCTGGGTGAGGATTTAAAGTGAAAAAGGTGAGAGAAGATTTATAAGTATGTGTTGCAAAAGAATGATTGGTAAGACTTTTGTGAATGGATTCAGGTAATAAAACTTTGTTTTAATTGCATGTCTTTCAGGTATAAACCTGACTTGATTTGGTCTGATGGAGACTGGGAAAGTCCTGACTCTTACTGGAACTCTACAGATTTTCTTTCTTGGCTCTACAATGACAGCCCAGTCAAGGTATGTGATTATATGACTTATGTCTTATTTATCTGTTGTGATACAAGACAGTATAAGGAGACAAGATCTGCAGTAATAACAACATCACCATGGGGGAGCTAGGGACCCAGGGACGTAATGGATGTTAAAGGTTTCTCCTCTAAGGCAGCCGATCAATGATTCTCTTTCATTGATGATGTTTCTATCGCTCTCTCCCTCTTCCTTCCTCTTTGAAATCAATAAATATATTTAAAAAAAAAAGACTGATGGGAAGAAGTGCCTGCCCAGCAAGGTGCTGAGTGGTGAGAAAAGTGTGGAACCACCTGTGTGTTTATTTGGGAGAACCAGTACGGGCAGGTCCAGCCCTGTGTAGTCCCAACTATTTCTTTGTGCTCTGCCAC